AACCCTCTCAACAGGTAATGCAATGTCTGAAAGGGTTGGCCCAAAAGCACGACATCTCTATCATAGCGTCCATACATCAGCCCAACACCGATGTCCTCCACCTCTGCGACCGACTGTACGTACTGTCCAAAGGGGGTCACTGTGTGTATTGGGGCCCTCCCGACAAACTGCCCCAACATCTCAACTCATGCGGCATTACCTGTGATGAGGATCAGGTGCCCATCGAAACACTCATCACAATCGCTTCCAAAGGTATGAGTGATCCAGTGGTTCATGAATTAAGAGCCAAAACCACATCCCGGGCCAAACAGGAGGTACAGGAGGTGTTCAGTCAGACAGACGTCGCTCTAATTCAACACAAGAAGAAGTGGTTTTCATTTCAAGACATTTATCTCCTGTTGTGTCGGCAGTCGACTGAAGTATATTCATATCGTTGGCGACAGATATCGGCAAAGACTGTGCTATTCATCGGTATTTCGTTAGCCTTCTCGCTGTCCGTCAACTCATCGGTCGGCCGTTACGACGACTGCGTGTCGCTGACGACCTCCCTGTCCGCTGGGAATGACACGAGTTGTCTACAGATGGCCGACAGGGACTTCATGGTCGACCAGAATGTCAATTATCTGTTGAACACTTTGTGGACATTCGCTGTACTCCAGAGTGTGGTAACGGTGTCCGAAAAGATCATCGCCCTTAAGATCATGGCTAATGAACACCAGAATAGTAAGTAACACTACTTACATCACCTTGTTTATGTGATAATATAACAATAAAGTATTAATTGTTGATCAGGGTATTATATTTTGATAATTTAGAAAATAACTATTTTTTAATTAAATGGTGATATAAGCAGTAAATATAACTAAAATGTTTTATTTACAAATACTAATTACAAATATTTTGTAGACTAACAAATGTTAACTGTTTAATATGATACTGGTTATTTTTGCAATGTCATAGTGTGGTACAGCAGTGGTGTATATTTCGTAACCGAAACATTGGCCGACTTGGTATCGGTGACCATGAATGCCGGCGCCAGTGCGGCCATACTGTTTTTTGTGTCTAACCAACCAAATGAGCTTGGTGGTAATCGACGATTTCTAAATTATATGCTCGCTTTCCAGCTTAATCTCCACGGTTTCGACGCGTTCGCACATTTAGTATCCATTATTTTCTACAAATACAAGTCCATGTGTTTTATGATTGACCTTGTTTACACCATAATTACCGGAGTTATTAATAACGTATTTATGGACTTACACACAATGCCAGCGTTTGTACGTAAACTGAGTGACCTATCGGTGTTTAAGTTGACCACCGATGCTGTTATGATCGCCATATATGGTATGGACAGGTGTCCCACCAATTGGTTCTCGCAATCACTTTTTCGGTCTCATATTAAAAACAAAGTGTCCGTTCGTAATGTGTGTCACATAATAGGTATAATATGTGTGACCAGGGTCTTATCGCTGTGTTTATTGGTGTTAATTAAAAACCCAATAAATTTCAACAACTTATTCAAGTTTTTAAAACCAAAAAGTCATAAACAAGTGAATGGTTTGTCGGAAAGCATACGACAAACACAACGATATGATAGCACTTATGGACAGACTGTTGACACGATTATGAGTCCGGACGTCGACTGTCCCACAGAGTCGGCGCCGGTATTGAGTATCGCGTGGATTGACATGACTTTGAAATCAAGACAAACGCTGTTTTCGTCCGAAAAGCTGATTCTCCGGCGAATCAAAGGTGTCGTAGAGTTTGGGTCAATGACTGCACTCATGGGTCCGTCCGGTGCGGGAAAGACATCTCTACTGAAAGCACTGAATGGTATGAATAGCCGTCTGATGACCAAAGAGTCGGCCATCCATTTGAATGTCGAGACGGGTGTCAGGACTTGCTTTATAGCTCAGGACCAGAGGGAACACCTCATGTCTGGACTGTCCGTAAAGCAGGCGTTGATATACGCGTCGAAACTGAAGAACGGGTCGTTTGAGGGACGGGTCGATCACGAGAGCAATGTATGGCAACTGATGGACGAGTTGGCCATCTCTGACATATCGGCCATTAATGTGGAAAAGTGTAGTTCCGGTCAACAGAAGAGGATAGTAATGGCGATGGAAATGACGGCACAATTGAAGCCAAACCTCATTTGTGTCGACGAACCGACCTCTGGAGTCGACTCCTATTCCGCTCTTTTGGTACTTTTCATACATTTTGGCATTAATTTTGATTTTAAATTAATTTTAATAATGAAATTTCAATCCCATAACAGATGATCCAATGTTTCAAACGCCTGTCCCATAGGCACCGGCTGTCAATCATAACATCCATACATCAGCCAAACGTTGAGATCATTGTGTTATTCAATAGACTCTATATATTAGCCAAAGGAGGGCTAACCGTATACTCCGGTCCCCCATACGGTCTGAGACAACATCTCAGCGATTGTCACATCCTTTGCACCGAAAATCAAATACCGATTGAAGTGTTGATGAAAATTGCGGCCATAGGTGTGGACAATGAGGCCGTCATTGATATGTCCGATAAGACTACGAAAGAGATGCAAGAATACGACGATATGATTGCCACTCAACTCAAACACTTTCCTAAAGGGATTCCTATTCAGCGGAAAGGGATGTCTTTTGGCGAGTGTTGGCACCTAATGGGCCGGGCGTTGACCAACACATTGAGATCCAACTGGAAGTTCATTGGCGTCCAAGTGATAGCTTATGTATCTTTGGGCGGATTTTTTCGGGCCTTATATGACGAGCCCCTGGATCGGGCGGTCGGGTGTCAGCCCCTGACGGCCGGACACTGCGATCTCAGCGCCAAAGCCATTGAAGACACGAAAGTTATCTTCAAAAATCTGTTTTATATAAATCTGATGTCATTTGTGGTAATGTTTGTCCAAATTATCTTCACTTCAATGGCGCTGTCGATGGAAATCAAAGTCTTTCTGAAAGAGCATCGAAATTGTGAGTCTCTCTCTCTCTCTCTCTCTCTAAACAATTAAATTGATCAAGTTTATACGTTCATACGTCCATTAGTCTGGTACAGTACAGAGTCCTACCTAATAGTGAAAACTTTGATGGATTTATTGCCCATGACTTTGGAAATCGTTTTCTTTGTGTTAATCGTAAACCTCTACGAAATGAAAGACATATTTTGGGTCCTATTACTGGTGCTGACACTCAGTGCACACATCTATCAGAGCAT